GAAATAGAACTGCAACCAAATGCACAGTGCAATGAATTAAAACTGGCTCAGTAATCATTCGATGAATAGTATACCACGGGCATCCCAAAAGACTAATGCCATAACCTTGCTAGCCGATTTTTTATCTTTCCGCGCAAGAGAACCGTTTCACAATATGCAGTCCACTAGGCTGACTGTCGACTCGACGCGATTGATTTCACTGGTGCAYAGCCCAAATTCAACAGTATTTTCCCCCAAAAACCAATGCTTTCTTAACGTACGAAATGCTTTTTGATTAATTTTTTTGTAAACTAACACAGGTTGCTTCATCAAAAATGCGATATCTCCTTAACTAATAATTATAATCTAAGTAATAGAAATCATATAGATGATATTAATTGTACTACCTATGTATGAGCCACAGTAAAACGTGGACGGGTCCTATAGTTTCAATTTATATTTCTTTATGACCTTTTCATTTCTATAAATTATTTCTCAGCAACTTCACTCAAGACACTTAAAGTTCACAGTTATAGAACAAAATCATTCTAACTTAAGAAAATCTTTAAATTAAACGGACTGAATCTCAAAATTCTATAACAAAATTTAATTTGGCATTCTTCCATGCTTTTGAGTGGAAAATATATTTCAACACATAATTAATTAAGAAATATCTTTCAGTTCTTAATGRGCCACTACCAGGTGCCCATAACTTTCAACGGCGGCAAGATAGCTAAGACAGTGGCAACACAAAAGAAGGCCTGTCGGCAACTCTAATCATTTAACAATACAAAAGAAACTAAACATAACTCAGATCTCAACATAATTGAGATCTTAAACAGGGAATAGATTCATAAGTGACTTGATTTATATAATACCGTGGGCAAAAAGTAGGMAGACTTTTTAATTTAAATTCGCGCAAAAATCCATTCGTCGACATATATTTTTCTACGTCGGTATGACTGTCAGTTTTGTGTGCGGAATCAAATGATGGATGCGTTCAGAATGTTGGAAAGGTCTTCGGTGTTAATTGTTTGTTACGAGCAAGTGTTTTTGATTAGTACAAACTATTTGAGGACGAACCACGTCCAGGACGGCAATGACCATCAACACGTCAATAAAATAAAGGAATGTCGGAAGGATCACTGAAAACCATTTAAAAATCTTTTGGGCCTAAGAAAAGTGAAAAACAGCGTGACGCTAACGTCTGTGAAGCAATGTTTTCCGACTACCGACTACTACGACTCAATTGGATCTAAGAGTAATCGGTTCAAGAGTTTAAATTGATATGTGGTGCATGGTAACGAGTTTTTTTTTTTACCTTATCTCTTTTTTCAATTTTTGACACATTTTCATAATTCATAAGCACAAGTTCCTTTGAAAAAGATATCAGTTCTAARGCCGAAAATT